ACCAAATTCTCATGACTACTCATAGCAAGACTTCTCCCTTGTCCTCAGGAACGAACGTAATTACTCACAAAGCATATCCATGTTCATAATCAGAGGGGTAATAATATGCATATAGGATCTGAACATATGATCTTCCACCAAATAAACCAACTAGCATCAACTACATGGAGTAATCAACACTACTAGCAACCTACTAGCACCAATCCCGGACTTTGAGACAAGAATTAGATACAAGAGATGAACTAGGGTTTGGAGATGAGATGGTGCTGGTGAAGATGTTGAGGGAGATTGCCCTCTCCCGATGAGAGGAGCGTTGGTGATGATGATGGTGATGATTTCCCCCTCTGGGAGGGAAGTTTCCTCGGCAGAACAGCTCTGCCGGAGCTCTAGATTGGATCCTCCAAGGTTCCGCCTCGTGGCGGCGGAGTCTCGTCCCAAAAAGTTCCTTCTTATTTTTTCTCATCGAAAGACCTCATATAGGAGAAGATGGGCGTCGGAGAGCCACCAGGGGGCCCACGAGGTAGGGGGCGCGCCCTAGGGGGGGGGGCGCCCCCACCCTCGTGAGAAGGGTGTGGCCCCCTGGCCTTCATCTTTGGCGTGAATTTTTCTTTATTTCTTTTAAGACATTCCGTGGAGTTTCAGGACTTTTGGAGTTGCGCAGAATAGGTCTCTAATATTTGCTCCTTTTCCAGACCAGAATTCCAGCTGCCGGCATTCTCCCTCTTTATGTAAACCTTGTAAAATAAGAGAGAATATCCATAAGTATTGTGATATAAAGTGAAATAACAGTCCATAATGCGATAAATATCGATATAAAAGCATGATGCAAAATGGACGTATCAACTCCCCCAAGCTTAGACCTCGCGCGCTTGTCCTCAAGCGAAAAGCCGATAACAATAAATATGTCCTCATGTTTAGAGGTAGAGGTGTCGATAAAAATAAAATACGGACATGAAGGCATCATGATTATTCTCATAACAGCAACATATATAGATTTTGTCATATGATTACTTATGTTCAAGTGATGATCTATTCACAATGCAAAAGTATAAATCATAAACCTTACTGGACTCCGACAAACTATAATCTCAGTCATTGAAGCAATTGCAATTTATCATACCATCGGAAAGAGTCTATGTCAGAGCTAAAAAGCAAGTCCACATACTCAACTATCATTTAGTCCTCCATAATTGCTAACACTCACGCGATACTTGTGGTTACGGAGTTTTAATCGGACACAGAGAAAGATAGGGGCTTATAGTTTTGCCCCACAACCTTTTACCTCAAGGGTAATCTCAACAATAATGGTTCATGCTCCCCTACATCCAATTTTTTTTATATATATATGTATGTATATATATATATATATATATATATATATATATATATATATATATATATATCATGTTCTTTCCAACATGCTGAGCTTGCCAAAGGATAAAATGAAAAATAAAAGGTGAAGATCACCACGACTCTTGCATAAGGTAGAAGATAATAATAAAGGATAGGCCCTTCGCATAGGGAAGCAGAGGTTGCCATGCGCTTTTATGGTTGGATATATAAAATCTCAATGCGAAAGAACGTCACTTTATATTGCCCCTTGTGATATGAACCTTTATTATGCAGTCCATCGCTTTTATTACTTCCACATCACAAGATCGTATAAAGCTTATTTCTCCCACACCAATCAATCATACATATTTAGAGCAATTTTTATTGCTTTGCACCGACGACAACTTACTTGAAGGATCTCACTCAATCCATAGGTAGATATGGTGGACTCTCATGGCAAAACTGGTTTAAGGGTATTTGGAAGCACAAGTAGTATTTCTACTTGGTGCTGAGAATTTGGCTATCATGAGGGGAAAAGGCAAGCTCAACAAGTTAGAGGATCCATGACAACATACTTTATCTCAGTTATAAGAAAGACACAACTCATTACGTTGTCTTCCTTGTCCAACATCAACTCTTTAGCATGTCATATTTTAATGAGTGCTCCCAATCATAAAAGATGTCAATGATAATATATCTATATGTGAAAACCTCTCTTTCCTTATTACTTCATATTAATTGCAACAATGACCAAAGCTATGTCTACCAACTCCCAACAACTTTTAATCATCATACTCTTTCTATGTGAAGTCATTACTCTCAATAAGATCAATATGAACTTTTTGTTTCTTTTTATTCTTTTTCTCTTTTCTTTTATTCACCCAAGATCATCGCAAAATAATCAAGCCCTTGACTCAACACTAATATTTATTATATATAGCTCACGGACTCAATTACATAGAGAGATCATAAAGCAAAACTCAAAACTAGATCATGCCATAAACTTTATTCTACTAGATCAAGATACTACTAATAGGATTAAACTAAGAAAAATGGTAAAGATAGGAGTTGTGATTGTGATACGATACCGGGGCACCTCCCCCAAGCTTGGCAGTTGCCAAGGGGAGTGCCCATACCAATGTGATTATATCTCCTTGGTTGGTGAAGAAGGTGGAGGTGACGGATAATCGCACATCGAGCGTAAGAGGTCCTCCAGCTTGCGAATAATGCCCTTGAGTGCGACAATATGCTCCTTCAACAAAATATTTTCTTGTGTGAGATACTTGTTTTGAACACGAGCCAACTCAATCATCTTGAAAGCTTCGATCTCAGTTTGGGTAAGAAGGTTATGATCAATTTGAAGGGTGTCTTCTGCTGCTGGAGCTTGATCCTCCGTGGCCTTCTTGATCCTTTCATCCTTGTTGACCTTCATGGGTTCTTCCTTCTTAAGATCTATCTTCATTAGCCAAGCATCGTTGTCGCCATTGTTGGAGGAGGGAGACGACATGATGCCTAGCCTGGAAAACCCTAACAAAAAACAGCTCGAAACAAAAACAGAGGAGGTTTGCGTGATACGGGAGTCAAAACCTTCGGGAGAATATATAATGAATTTTTACCGAGCAAAATACGTAACGTGCAAGAAAACAGAGTCCGGAAAGCACACGAGGTGCTCACGAGGTAGGGGAGCGCGCCCACCACCCTTGTGGGGCCCAAGAAGAGGCCGACGAATTCCGCAGCGGCAATGACGACGGCTCGCAGCTCCAGCTAGTCGCCGGGTGCTGCCTCCCCACCGCCATCAAGATCCAGGAATCGCTGTTGCCGCCCAAGAAGAGGCCGACGAATTCCGCAGCGGCGATGACGACGGCTCGCAGCTCCAGCTAGTCGCCGGGTGCTGCCTCCCCACCGCCATCAAGATCCAGGAATCGCTGTTGCCGCCCAAGAAGAGGCCGACCAGCACCACCAGCGCCTCCTCCTCCTCCTCCTCATCTCTTCTGCTGGTTTCTCCTCCAATGAGGAAGAGACGGATGGATTACTACGTCGTCGACGCCGACGCAAAGATGGCGGCCGCTCTGCAGCAGGCCGGAGCTGGGCCGGCGGGGGCGTGCGGCGCCATGGCCTCGAAGCGCGCCAGGAAGGCCAGCTCCAGATACAGCGCCGACGTGTGGACGCAGTGAGCAGAGTTGGCTGACAGATTACAAGGCTTTCATCGCCGGGAGCATCAGAACCTCTAACTGCAGACAGATACTACTGTATTTGGGAAGGATCTGGACTGGAGCATGTAGCATCGTAAGAGAGTGCGATCAATTCTATAGCCCATTATTAATTGTTTAGCTTCCTTGGCCAGGTATGTGCAACGGTAGTAACCTCTGCAAAAGTACAATTTAACAAGAAACCAGGGGGGAAATTGGAGTTTCAGAATTGTTCAGAAGAAGCCTTTGCTAACCTTGGGTGCTTGGCGTCAAGGATATCTTTCTGGCCGTACTTCCTCCAGCTGAAGCCGTCATCAAGGAGGCGCCCAAGGAACAGTGAATCGTCAACACACTCAATGTTAGCTGTAGGACGACATGAGCGCATATCAATGGCCTTCCTTAAGGCTGACACTGCAGCCCTTGTACTGGATTTATCGGCACCACATCCCCCAACAATTACAAGGATTTCCTTGGGGACTAACAGGTGCTCGATGACTGTAGGTGCACCGCCATAGAGAAAATTGAGCCTGACCTCAAGCTTTTCGAGACTGGGCATTGCCCCTGCCTCAAAAGTCAGTTGTGATATCCTGATGCAGGACAGCCTAAAATGCTTAAGACTAGGGAATCCCATTCCAGATATGACTACCTTCTCTTCAGATTCAGGAGTTCCTTCAATGTGCAATTTGAGGTGGTTAAGAGATTGCAACTGTGCAAGAATTCCAATATCATCCTCCAACACCTCAACTGTGAGATCAAGGTCAATGAGGTTATGGAGCTCTGCAATCCACTTAGGAACCCTCGGAAACATGCACAACATATGAAGCCTCCGAAGAAGGTAAGGAGAAGCAGACGAACTCAACACATACAAACTGTTGATGTTAGAATCCGTGTGCAAATATCTGAGGTTGCAAAGTTTTTCAAGGGAACATCTCAAAACATCCAAGCGCAATTCATTCATGTTCGTAAAACTGTAACATATTCGAAGATCCCTCAAATTGGTCAGATTTCCAAGGTCTCTGATGTTGTCTATAGAATTCAAGCCCACATCAAACTCTTGCAGCGTACATAAAGATTTCATGTTGCCAATCCCGTTGGGCAAATTTGTCCTACTAGGGATGATCAGGTGCTGGAACCGGCGCAAATGAATAACATCTGACGGAACTTCCAGAGGACATACTCCTAACTCCAAGGTCTCCAATTGCTCTAGTCCCCGAATTTTCCTTGGTAACACTATTTCACCATCTGCTTTGACTTTTAGATACCTCAGTTGGAACAAATGAGATATTCTAGTGAGATCAGGTATCTCCGACCCATGGTTTCCAATTGTAAACTCAAGAGTTAAAACTCGGAGATGCTTGAACTTCAAGAGAGGAGGTGCATATGCAGAGGTACCAAATCTCGCCAGCGCTCTTACTTGTGAGAGCTGGGTGGTTTCCAACATTGCACCATCTATTATACCATCCAGATAGTACTTCACTATTATGATCTGTATCAACTGGTTGAATGATGCCTCTATTAACAAGCTCGTTAAAATAGCACTCTGCAACATCCTCTGGCCATTGCCCATGTGCTTTACTTACAAAACCTTGGGCTACCCATTGCCTGACCAAATCACTTTTCTTGATTATATAGTCCTCTGGATACATACCCAAATAAAGCATGCATGTCTTCAAATAGTGAGGAAGATTTATGTAACTAAGGCTCAGTATTTGCCTCATTCCTTCCAATGTTGGATTCACCTCAAAATTAGGGCCCAGAGAATTCATTATGTGCACCCAATGCTCCTTCAATTTGTTTCGCTCACTAGCCAAAAGGCTAGATATAGTCACAATTGCAAGAGGCAAGCCGCCGCATCTTTTCAAAATTTGAGCTGAAACTTCTTCCAAGTACGGAGGGCAAGCATCTTCTAAACCAAATACTCGTTTAAAAAATAGCTTTCTTGAGTTTTCTTTGCTTAGTGACTTCATCTTATAAACATAGTCACGTTGATGGCAGCAGCAAGCTCTAGCCACAGAATTAATTCTGGTAGTTGCTATTATCATGCTACCGTACATATTTTCTGGAAGAGCACATCTAATAACATTCCATGTAGTTTCATCCCAAATGTCATCAATTACAATCAAGTACCTGCAAAATTATTTCATATAAACTATGATAAGTACCAGGCAATAGTGAACTATAGGCAAAAGTAAAATATAAACGAAAGAATACTCAGTCTCTGCAACTGCATCTGAAAGAGCAAAAACACCAAATGGAACCTTTATTACTTGAACGTTAAAAATGCAACTGTACTTGTCTATGTATTGAACTAATAGTGGTTAAAGTTGAATATTCTGTCCGCATTTGTGAGAATGAGTTGATTTGAGGAACTTTATTTTCAGAATAAATGAAATCAGTTATAGGATTCTATAACTAGTTTCTCTAGTGAACCACAAGCATAGAACATCTACAGAGGGTACATAAATTTCGCTGAAAGAGTACTAGCAAGATAAAAAGAACAGATGCGAGACCAAACAATACAAATTACTTTGGATGACAGTCAATTCTGAACAGGCGTACCTCTTATCTATAAGGAATTCTCTGAGTTCACTGATCAGTTCCTCCTCAGCCCATATTTCCATGTTGGTTCCCTCTGGCACTCCATGGACTTGAGAGAGCATTCTTCTCAAAATCATTCTTATGTTTGGTTTCTGGGACACAGAAACGAAAGCTTGACACTGGTACTGCCACTTTAGCCTGTGGTAAATCTGGTTCGCAAGTGTAGTCTTACCAAGCCCTCCGAATCCAACTATGGAGAGGACCTTTGTCAGTTGCGCAGGACTACCCTCTTCACTCGCCATCAGCCGAATTAATTCATCCCTCGGCCCGTCGATACCCACAAGGCCCGCAGTGTCTGCGTAGAGTGCCAGGAGGCGAAGGTCTATGGTTGTCTTGTTTTGCTTTGAGACAGCATCATCAATCTTGTACCTCATGCGTTGCTCGCTCACCTCCATGACACGACCCTTGAGGCCTCGGAACTCCTTCGCGACCCTATGCCGAGTGTTCATCGTCGTCAACAAGTTCATGCTCCTCTGAATGAATCCCTTAAATCCATGCGGCTCGCAGTTGGACTCACATTCCACCAGGACTATGAACTCGTCAACACTATCCTCGATGTCATAGGACAAATCACACACCTCCTTCGCCCATAACTTGGCTTGCTTGTCGGGCTCCTCCTCTGCCTCCGACATCCTCTCCAGGAATGCTCGCATACTCTCGAGCTCAGCTTTAAGGAACATGATCTCTCCTTTGGCTCCCTTGAGCAGCTTGTACTTGCCGGCGAGCAGATTGCCAAGCTTCGCAATCACGAAGCCTATGGCGCCCCGCGACACGCTCACCACTGCTGCCTCCATGCACCCAGCAGCAGCACAACCAGGACAGAGTTTCCTTCTTTTTTTCTATCTATAGAGGAAAGAACTTAAATCACATTTTCAATTCTGAAGTTGCTAGCCACACCCAGGACTGATTTCCCTTTCTGGTTGCAGCCCTTACTCTTGACGTGCGTCCGTTGACTGCATCTGCCATGTTGAAATCAGTCAAATCAGATCATTGAATCTCATGGTAGCTGTGCTTGAAAAAGAAAAGGGAGTGGATTTGAACCTGAATCATGAACCTGAACAATGGGATCCCAACTGTCGGATACTCGCATGCAAATCCTCTTTCACCGCCGCCGCTCGCCAGTTAGAGCTCGTCTGAGCCCCCGCCGCCCCAACCTCCGGGGCGGGCTCGTCGTCGCTGCCGCCCAAGGAAGATATTCTACCCAACCACCGGCGAGGAGCTCAGGGCACGGGCAGCTCCAGATCTGAGGGGTTGCCTTTCCTCTTGTCTCTCGTCGTCAGTGGTTCTTGTGCTCCAGATCTGATCCGGAGATGAGTAGTGAGGACTGAGACTGCGCACATGGGATTCTCAAAAGCGTAGGACCATACAGGAATCTTTTCTCCAGAAAATCACCGTGGCGCATAATCCTCGACAATAAAAATCATCACGGTCTAAGTGTGCTTAGGCATGTAAAATGCATAGCCTCAAGAATGCTCCATAGGCCACATAGGATTGGATAAAAAACATGTTTGGATGAAGCAACGGAATTCTCTGCAAGAGGCAGGTGCTTGAGAGAAAAAGTGTGGTCCGATGCATAAAGCTAAAAAGGTTGAAGTTGAGAATAGAGATGCATGTCTAGTGAAAGTCTTTATTTTCTATTGAGAAAAGTATACCTTTTGTCCCTCAACTCTGGGTGAAGTTTAGATTTGGTCCCTCAACTTCAAAACCGGACAACTTGCACCTCTAACTACCGAAACCGAACAAGGTTCGTCCCCGGACTCGGTTTTGACCGGTTTTGGTGTTGACTCACCCCGGTTTTGACCCGTGCTCACTCATATTCCTATAATTTTTTTATATCCGTGAACTTTTTGAAATCCACGTACACTTTTCAACTCCGCATAGTTTTTTCAAGGTCACATATTTTTTTCAAAAATAAACATACTTTTTTCAAATCAGCAAACTATTCTAAAATTCACATACTTTTTTCAAATCCGTGATTTTTTAACATTTACGTACCTTTTCCAAATCCCCGTATTTTTCCCAAGTTTGTGTAATTTTATCAAATCCAAGTATTTTTCAAAGCCATGAACTTTTTTTGAAATTCGCATACTTATTTCAAATCCACATGCTTTTCAAAGTCCGCATTTTTTTTCAAATCCGTGTTCCATTTATAATCCATGAACTTTGTTTGAAATTCACATACTTGTTTCAAGATGAAACAATTTCTGAAATCCACATATTTTTGTGTAAAAGAAGTCCATATCCGCGTACTTTTTTCAAGTTCGCATAAATTTTCAAATTCATGAACTCTTTCAATAAAATGTACTCAAATTTGAAAGTGTACATCAATTTTAAAAAATTAAATGAACTTAAAAAACTAAATGAACTTTAAAAAATACGCATATTTGAAAAAGTACATGAACTTGTAAAAAGTACGCAGATTTAAAAAAAGTACAAATTTTTTAAAAAGGTTCACGTATTTGAAAAAATAACCGAATTTGAAAACATCACGTGGACTTGGAAAAGGTATCCAAATTTGAGTCGGAACGGTCAAAACCGGGGTGGGACAGCACCAAAACCGGTCAAAACCGTTACCGGGGATGAATCTTGTCCGGTTTTAGAAATTAAGGGTGCAAGTTGTCCGATTTTGAAGTTGAGGGACCAAATCTAGACTCCGTCAAGAATTGAGGGATGAAAAATATACTTTTCTCTTTTCTATTCTTTGATGAGGCCCACTAGTGGTAGCTTGCATTGGGGAGAAAAAATTAACATACTCCCTCCATTTTTGTATACAAGTCCACAAATTCGGATTACAGATACCAACATAAAATTTAATGCCTGCTTTACAAGTCAACTTTTTTTCTTGTTTACTAGGATCATTAATACTTCGTATGCATGCAAAGAAAATGAGTGAAGGAAGTAGCCGACTGTCATTATGACTGCATGCATACAAATATCAAACAGGTTGTTAGTATGAGAAAATATCATTAATTTTGCCTCGATTACTGTTTGTGGCCTTGTATAGATGCAAAATGTGTATTTCATAATGACCTTGTATATAAAAATAAAGAGAGTAGATGTCTCAAACTACTTTTTGTTATGGAGCATCTGTGTTCATATGTCACCATTGTACATGCATTTAGACGAGGTGCTAAGCACATTCAAAAGTTTAGCAGTTAACGTGCTGAATACGTACTTCGCTGCTTAACTTGCTCGTGCTAAACTCTTCATTTAATAATTTGGCAACTAAATTTTTTCATTCATTGGTGGGTTTTTTGGTTAGTTGTTTTTGCCTATGTTCACATGCTTATCATAGGTTCTTCCCAAGGTGACCAAACAAGTTAGATCGTTAGCTTTATTTTCATCTTTTAAAAAGTTTTTTTTCAGGTTTTTTCGACATTTTCATTTTCCACCAGTCTTCCTTAACTCTTGGGTCAAAAAATAAATAAAAATAAATTGCCGAAAAAATGTGTTTTCTTTTTTTTGCGAGAGTCACCGTTTTGCTTTTGTGAGAGTTACGGCCGTGCCTCTCAAAAAGGAAAAAAATGTGTTTTTCATTTTTTTTCTTTCGTGAGAGGCATGGTTATGCTTTCACGAAAGGCACGGTCGTGCCTCTTAAAAACGAAAAAAAAAGTGTTCTCTGTTTGGCACGGCCGTGCCATGCCGGCCCGCGTGCCCAATCTTCAGGTCTAAGCACGGCCCAAGACGTGTCGCGTGCTTGACACGGCCTGATTAGAGCGTGCCGGGCCTGGCCCATCACGTGTCGTGCCAGGCCAGCCCGTTTGGCCAGCTATAGCTTGGGCTGGCTAGACGCAAAAAGTAACAAACAAGGCAAGACCGGACATGGTGACGCCTTGGGCTTGCATGCATAGTTTTTTTTTTTTACACAGTAGCATTGCAGCTCTTTTTGTTGTACAGAAACATGTACAAAGACAAAAATTCGATACGGCTCGTACTACCCTATGGTATTATTATCTAAGCCTTTGGTTCACCTCGGGATCCATGTGTGCAGCCGTATTGAGTGGTGTATTGTGTTTCAAGTCAGAGCATGGTTAAGAGCAAGTATAATAAAGCTGTGTCAGCCGGCTATAAGCAGGGACGGAGCCAGGATTTTAACATGGGGGGGCGAGCTTTTGCCTCTACTGTAGGGACTGGTAAAAAAATCATGCAGCGAAACTAGCCTAGGCTGATGAACTAAATTTTACTGGGCTATAAAAAAATTGGTGTCAGCTATGAGGTATTCAATTTTAATCAAAAGTTTCCGCAAATCAAATGAGATTGCAATTCCCATGTATGAACTAAATACTTCTGGTACAGAAGATAGACAATGTAAAAAGGCCCCTGATGCTAAAGGCACAAATTAATGTAGTTTTCCAACATAAACCATGGACAGATGGAGCAAGTAAAAAATGAGAAAAGTGACTAACCTAACGATTTCTCTTGCCTCGTCGCCCCTGACGTTCGCCATACGGCCGGCCGGTCGGCCGTGCGGCCGCAAGCTGGATCTCCCTCGCTGCAAATCCAGAGTTACTAGATTGGAAACTGTACATCGATGGATCAGGCGGCAGACGACCAGGCATAACCGCGTGAGGCATCGATGATCGATCTAGCAGCCTGGAAACGATGTGCGTGCGTGCGTGCGTGCGTGAGTTCCTGACGTAGCCCCCTTTGTAATTCCATCGTTGGGCTTTTCTTATTCTTTTGGGCTCGGCCTACAAAATCTACTGCAGTAACTGCACTGCATATGGGCTGGGCTGGCCCGAGGAGCTGTTTCACGCTACGTACACAGATGGACAGGCCGACAGGGGGGGCGAAACATCTCAAGCATACGGGTGATTAGCGAAAAAACTCATCGCTATTAAGCGAAAACAACATCGTGAAGAGCCAGCTCTAACACGTGCTTCTAGGCACTTTGTGAGAATGAAAGATGGACCACATAATAAAAAAGTAGTACACTCTTTTGATCTACTATTGTACATGTTGACTATAAGATGGTCTGTAGATGACATGACACTGGCTTGTAGCTAGCAGCTGGCTATATTATTAACCATGCTCCTCTGCCGGCTATATATCTACGCCATGTCACTTATAGCCTTCGTAATAGCCTGCTAGTATAGTAGATTGACTGTAAACTAGCTATCAATACTTAATGCGTGCATGTGAAAGGAGGGAAGGAGACGCATGCTGATTGGCGGGAATGAATGAAGCGCTAGCTCACCCGGCTGCATGCGGGTTGGATTTCTTGTTTCCAGCGCTGTAGCCGGCGATAACTGAAGCGCCCGTTTGCTTCTTTTCTCTTTCTTCTCTCTCTTCCAGCTATGATTTCGATGATGTGGAAGTTTTTATAGCCTGCTGACTGGGTACTATTGTATTTGCTCTCATGAATATTGAATAGTAGCGCTGTCGTTCGTCCGTTGCCCATTAATGCGGGGAAAGAATGGCCTAGTATGGTCTCTCCGTCCAGTATTTTTCCTGGACCGACCGGCCGTGCTACTGCTAACGAGTGGTACCGGTGGATCAACTATCAAATCACGTCCCGTCCACACCTCGCACAGGCAACGGCCCTTCCCCATTGGCCTACCCCTCGTATTGTTCCTCTTTTTTTGCCGGTGGTTCTGTTCGTTGGCAGCCATGGCGGCTTTCTTCCTCGTCCACCCTAAGACCTTCTCCCCTCAATCCCGTGGCCTAACCGCGTCCGGAAAGTGCACCCTTTGGAAAGAATGGTGGTCTAGTGTTTTGCTGGCACCTAACCAAAAATCATTGTCTCAGAAAAAGAAAAAGAAAATTCCCCTCAAATCTGCTTTGTCTTCAGTTC